TGGATTTTGAATAATTGGCCTCACATTGGTTGTATTCTTATATTATGTAATGCCTCTCCATGCTTTTGTACCAAAAATGTGAGTTTTGAACCTTTGAACATGGAGTTTGAACTTGAAGAACAATTCTGGAAAACCCAGAAATTGGCATGTTCGCTTGAGCGGGGAAAACGCCGCTCGAGCGTGAAATGCTAGTTCCCAGAACTTTTGCAGACATGGATGTCCGCTCGAGCGGCGAGATTCACGCTCGAGCAGGGAGCCATGTAGTGTGACTTTCAGCTCGAGCGCCCGACTTCACGCTTGAGCGTGAAAATAAGGCAACCAGTACTTTTGCAAGCCATGAGGGTCCGCTCGAGCGGCGAAATCCACGCTCGAGCAGGGAGCCCTGTTTCAGAAAATTTGTAAAGATGTTTGTGTTTCATTTTCCGTTCTCTTTCATTTTTAAGTACTCTTAGGCATATATTAAGCATTGTAAATGAGTTAAAAGAATAAGAAAGAAGCCTAAGAGGGACGTATGAATTAAGAACAAATTGAATCGTTTGTGACCCATTACGTTCATGGAATGTATAGGGTCAAGCACAAGAGCAAATCCACCGGCAGATCACTGTGAGTAATATCTTAGTAAAGATATTTGAAGCATGTTATTTGTCCAATTGCTTATTTCCATATCACTCTTATAAGTTTGTTAAACAGAATTGTGGACAAATATTTGTTATGCCATATGATTGGGCCAAAGGCCGTCAGACACCATTTGATATGAATGATTGGGCCAAAGGCCGTTTGACATGAATGATTGGGCTAAAGGCCGTTTGACATGAATGAAATGGGCCAAAGGCCGCTTGACATGAATGATTGGGCCAAAGGCGGTCAGATACGAATGATTAGGCCAAAGGCTGTTGGACATGAATGAATGGGCCGAAGGCCGTCGGATATGAGTGAATTGGGCCCGAGGCCATTTGATACGTTTGGATCTTAGTCGTTTGATACATTAGATTGAAACATGAATTGGGCCCAAGGCCGTTTGATGTTACTGTTTCAAAGTTCGTTCATTTATCTCTTTTTACTTGATATTATTCACTGGGATTTCTCTCACTCTCATTCATGTGTCTGTAGGTGAGCCAAGAGATGTCCAAACCCAGCCTCAGTGAAGTGTGTGAGAAACGGTCAAAGTTTTGAAGAGTCAGCCCAAACGCCTCACGCACCAGACTTGTATTCGCCTCTTTTGTCCTTTTTGCTATAATTTTGCTATATTGGCGGAACATTGGATCATTTTTGTATATGTGCTTTGGGTTTGACTGACTTAGACGTGAATGATCATGTATGTATAGAACTTGGGTTATTTTCCTTTTTGACGTGAGTTATTAACAAATAAATGTGAAATGTTATGATGTGCCATGTAAGCACGGCTTTATGGAGAAAATTTTTAGTTGCTTCCGTTTGGCCCCCTTAACTTTGTTACAATATATTTTATTTGGTTTAAGGTCGTAGGTAATCTCTTGATTACTAGCCGGTTATGACCTTAATCCCATAGGGGCGGGTTCGGGTCATGACACATATTCTATAATTTCCCTCTTCATACCCGGCCACCAAAAATTCTGCTTCAAGTTATGGTTACATTTTTGTGCTACCAGGATGCATCGCAAATTTGGAACAATGCGCCTCCCCCATGATTCTCTTCTTGATTTTTGGCACGTTAGGAACACACCTCCTACCCTGGAATTTCAATACTGAATTTTCAGTTATGAACCCGGGCCTTGGTTTCGTTTCTAGTTCATCACAAATCTTCTGTAGAAATGTATCTTCCAGTTGCCGTTGTTTAATTTCTTCCATAACTACTGGTTGGGCTGCTATCGCTGCTACTATTGCATTTTGATCATGTAACACAATTTTCGCATCTGTTCTTTCCAAGTCACGTAGTAACTCCTTCTGCCTCGTGAGCAGATTCGCCAAACTCCCCGTACTCTTTCGGCTGAGGGCATCTGCGACTGTATTAGCTTTACCGGGATAGTAATGAATTTGAAGATCATAATCTTTAATAAGCTCTAACCACCGTCTCTGACGCATATTCAATTCCTTTTGAGTGAAGAAGTACTTTAGACTCTTATGATCGGTATAAACCTCATATCTAGCCCCATACAGATAGTGACGTCATATTTTCAAAGCAAAAACCACTGCAGCTAGCTCAAGGTCGTATGTGGGGTAGTTCCTTTCACGGGGTTTAAGTTGACGAGAGGCATATGCAATAACCCTTCTATTTTGCATAAATACACAGCCCAAACCTTTGTGAGAAGCGTCACTATAAATCTCAAATCCTTTGGTACCAGATGGTAAAGCCAGAATAGGTGTTGTAGTTAACCTTGTCTTCAGCTCCTGAAAAGCAGATTCCCATTACTCCGACCATTCAAACAAAACACCTTTTTGGGTTAACTGAATAAATGGTACCACAATTTTGGAAAAGTCCTTAACAAACCGTCGGTAATATCCGGCCAAACCCAAGAAACTACGCACTTCTGACACATTAGTAGGCATCGGTCAATTCACAATAGCTTCAATCTTGTGTGGATCAACAGCAATACCCTCCTTCTTCACCACATGTCCCAAAAATCCTACTTCATGTAACCAAAATTCACATTTCTTTAATTTTGCATACAGTTTCTTATCCCGAAGAGTCTGAAGAATTATCCGTAGATGATTCTCATAAGCTGCCATACTTGTTGAGTAAATGCAGATATCATCAATAAATACAACCAAAAAGTCATCCAGGTAGGACTTAAAAACTCGGTTCATTAAATCCATGAAGGCCGCTGGTGCATTAGTGACCCCAAATGGCATAACTAGAAATTCATAATGTCCATAACGAGTCCGGAAGGCAGTTTTCCCAATATCTTCAGCTTTAACCTTTAGTTGGTGATACCCCGACCGCAAATCTATCTTAAAGAAGACTTGTGCACCCTGTAATTGATCAAACAGATCATCGATCCTAGGCAAAGGATATTTATTCTTTATAGTTACTTTATTGAGCTCTCTATAATCTATACACAACCGAAGGGTTCCATCTTTCTTCTTCACAAAAAGGACTGGTGCCCCCTCAAGGAGAAGTACTTGGACGAATAAATCCTTTGTCAAGGAGGTCTTGCAATTGGACCTTCAACTCTTTCATTTCAACGGGAGACATTCTATAAGGGGTTTTAGAAATGGGCTGAGTTCTTGGCACAATATCAATTGTAAACTCGATTTCACGATCCACTAACTCTCCTGGTAACTCGTCTGGAAAAACATTCGAAAAATCCCGCACAATTAGAATTGCATCAATGCCCCCATTCACTGGTTGTTCATCCAAAATACTACACAAATACCCTTGACTACCCTTTTGTAGTAACTTACATGCCTTTACTGTAGAAATCAAATAGGGTAGGGAAACTACCCTCTGGCCCTTAAAAATAAACTCAGATTGTCCTGAGAGTTAGAAAATAACTTGCTTCGTGACACAATCTATAATCGCGTGATACTTGCTTAACCAATCTATCCCCAAAATTATGTCAAAATAGGCCATATCAACAGGCAACAAGTTGGCATCTACCCAAACATCCCCGATCAGAATTTCACATGCAAAATAAATAGATGCACATACTGTGGACTCCCCCGTTGGTGAGGACATACACAAAACATAAGGTGGTGATCCCATTGGCCTATTTAAATGACTAGCAAATGCTTTTGATACAAAGGAATAGGTAGAGCCCGAGTCAAATAACACATAGGCGGAATGACCATTAACAGAAAATGTACCTGATACCACAACCTCGGTATTTTGCACATCGCCCTGAATTAGCGCAAACACCCTTCTTTATTTGGCGGTATCTTTAGCGTTAGTGGGTTTTGTAGCTGCCTTTGTAGTTGGGGGAGGGGTTGATCCAGCTAAACTTGCGGTGGTTTTATTCCGATTCTATCGATTCTTTTGCGGACATTCTCTGGCCAAATGGCCTGTCTTTCCACACTTGAAGCATGCCCATGTTACTAGACAACAAATCCCACGGTGTCTCTTTCCACAATCCGAGCAAATTGGTGCAGAGTCACTGGTAGAGGCGGATGTACTAGAAGTTCCTGAATTTAACTTCTTACTTGGCGGTGTCACCAAGCCCCTTGAGGTTTGAATATTCTGTCTTTTCCCTCTCCATTCCGAGACCCGGCTTTGAGCTGCAACATTACCTTCAACAATCACTGCCCTTTCCAACACATCAACATACGTGGGTAGTTTCAATACATTAATTTGGTCGAGAATAGCAGTTCGTAACCCACCTTCAAACTTTCTTTCCTTCTTGTAATCCGTATCCACCATATGTGGTGCGAAACGAGCCAATTCAGCAAATTGAGCCTCATACTCTGCAATAGTCTTGTTCCCCTGTCTCAAGGTCTCAAACTCAGTCACCTTCTTATCTCGCATACTTTGAGGAAAATGCTTGTCGTAGAATAGCTCCAAAAATCTATCCCATGTTAATCCTTGATGTACAGTTCACGTGAGCATCCACCACCTTCGTGCTTCGTCCTCGAGAGTGAAGGCAGCAAGTTGCATTTTTTGGGCTTCAGTACATGGAAAAACCTCGAATAACTTTTTGATACCCAACACTCACGCTTCGGCTTTCATTGGTTCAATTCCCCCCTTAACGAAGGCAGCTTCATCTTTTTGAATTCCTTCATGAGTGTAATTGTCCGATCCTCAGCTTGATAATCTTGTATCCCTGGCGATGGTACAGGCATGGGTGGTGGTGGTTGTTGTGGTTGTTGCCTTAGAGTTTCTGTCATCTCCATAATCATCATTTCCATTCTATCTAACCGTACGGCGGTAGTATCTTCCGGATCATCTATTCTGGTTATCACCATGATCTACATAACAATTAGTTATAATACATATAGAATGCACAAGTAGACATGGATCATGATCATTACCAATGTATATATATATATCCATGATTATTGTATATGCACCAAAAGTCACGTGCATGTGTAACTTAAGTCTTTACTAGACGCTCTAAAGCTCAATGAACTCGTGCGTGAGATAGCAACTTGTGCTCTGATATCAACTATCATGACCCAAACTTGCCCCTGGAAATTTGGACATGACCGGCCTAACCTTAGGCCTCAATTTAGAAACATCTTAAAGTTTACTCAATATCGGGGCCTGAACGGAAGCAAAATAATAGAAGGATTCATTGAGCTGTGTCTAAATACCATTACTATACACATATAACATCCTACGCACCATTCACATTACTGAGAGTAAAAAAGGAACCAACCTATCATGTTTAGTGTTGTCAACATTTACATACATATCTATTTTTCCCAGTTATAACAAAGCATGCCATTAATGGGCTTTCCAACATAAAGCGAAGAGTCACTTGACTCAGCAAACGGGTTCAGCTACAGGCTTCTGAGCTGACCTAGGGTTGACCCGTAAGCTGGTTACCTACAAAACATTCAGAAAAGTAAAGTGAGCAAGGCTCGGTGAATAATAGTAGTACAAATAAATTAAAGGTACGAACATGGGTTAACAGTGCGTATTCACCATTCAAAATTTCACTAATTTTTCCTTTTCTGAATGGCCTCGGGCCTACATAAGATAGAACAGCCTTAGGCCCAACAGAATGCAGGACGGCCTTAGGCTCATTATAATAGCAGAACGGCCTTAGGCCCAACAAAATACAAAATAGCCTCAGGCCCATCATATTAACAAAACGGCCTTGGGCCCATCGTATTAGCAAACAGAACGACCTCAGGTCCATATTTCACATGTCAAAGTTCAAACATATATTAGACATATCACATATAACATAAGGTACTCACAAAAGTGAATAAGATCTTAAATAACATATATAAACATAAAACATGAACAGAGCATAACATTACGCTACTATCACTCACTGTGATGCGGGTGAACGTTGGCCCCCTCCTACGGATGCCCTACACATAGCACATAAATCGTAAGCACATCATTATTCTTAGTTCCTTTCGATTCTCAATTATTCGATTCATTACGTTTCATGTAATTAAATACATTATAGGAACATCGAACAGACATAGCAATACATTTAAAGGGTCGAGAGGAGCGAAAGAAAGTTTCAAGATTTTCCAACTTGGGCCACACGTGCAGAAGTCCTCGCCACACGTGTAGGTAGGTGCGCCGCACGTGCCTTTTTAGCAGTGTAGTTCGACCCTTCTCCCCTGTTTTCAGCATGTACAGCCATGGGCCCTGCACGTGCGGTCGTTTGCTCTATTTTGGCAGTCCGAAACCTAGACAAAACTCAATTGACCAAACCCATTACAAGGTATAAGATAGGGAAAATTAGCTCAATATCATGGCATACTATCACAAGGAACATGAATCATAAACATAATCAATCCATACTCCTCTTAAATATATATATATATATATACATCTCAAATTCTTTATATTTCAACCATGCTTGGTTCATCACAATATATATCTCTATAAACATCAAGATGTATGAGTGAGCTTAAAATGTGGAGAACCAAAGAAACATAGCTCAAAACAACCTCCAAACCCAAGGATCATCTACCAAAGCAACCAGATTCCATAAGCAAGGCTTTTGTTGTAACCCTAACTTACATGAATGTAAAGATTTCCTTCCCAAATCAAATAGAGAGAGAGATTAGGATGTTCTAGTTAGATTGTACATACCTTGAACTTTAGCCTCAAACCCTATTTTAATTCTTTCAATCTTCCCCCTTGATGAGCCTCTCTTCTTCCCTCTTCTTTCTCTCTTTTTTGGGTGTTCTCTAGAATTCCCCACTCAAAATATATAAGGAGATGAGTTCATAAAGAGACTTATATAACATATAAATAAGCCTTTAACTTCAGACTTGCCAAATGAGCCTTATCGAATTAAACAAAATAAATTTTCAATTAAACCTCCCAAGTGGCTTTAAAAATTCCCACTAGCATGTTCACATAGTCAATTTCAGTTTATCGCGCCTCTACGGCTTAAATTTCCAAGTTAACATTTTAATGTTAACAGATATATTCCAATAATCAACAAATAGAAAAACATGGTCAAACAATTCACACATGTAAGCATAACTTTGCATGGAATTTCACATTAAACACGTAATTTCTCATAGAACTAGGGACGTAAAGCATATAAGAGGGTCGGGTTATTACAATATGAGTACGTGGACTTTTATGCACCCACATATATACTACATATGATGTAAATTCTTAGATAAAATGTTGTAAATTATATAGAAATGTACTTGAAATTGAATAATATTTAGAAAGAAAAATTTGAAATTTTATCTCTAATCAATGTTAGGTTGTAAATTTTTATTTTCTAACAAATGTGCATTTCTTATTCTTCAAACATTGTAAAATATTTGAGGATCCAAGTGTCTAAATTCGATACAAGTATCAAACACAAATTCCACACCCTTATCCTTGTCTTATCGCTCAAAACAACCTCCAAACCCAAGGATCATCTACCAAAGCAACCAGATTCCATAAGCAAGGCTTTTGTTGTAACCCTAACTTACATGAATGTAAAGATTTCCTTCCCAAATCAAATAGAGAGAGAGATTAGGATGTTCTAGTTAGATTATACATACATTGAACTCTAGCCTCAAACCCTATTTTAATTCTTTCAATCTTCCCCCTTGATGAGCCTCTCTTCTTCCCTCTTCTTTCTCTCTTTCTTGGGTGTTCTCTAGAATTCCCCACTCAAAATATATAAGGAGATGAGTTCATAAAGAGACTTATATAACATATAAATAAGCCTTTAACTTCAGACTTGCCAAATGAGCCTTATCGAATTAAACAAAATAAATTTTCAATTAAACCTCCCAAGTGGCTTTAAAAATTCCCACTAGCATGTTCACATAGTCAATTTCAGTTTATCGCGCCTCTACGGCTTAAATTTCCAAGTTAACATTTTAATGTTAACAGATATATTCCAATAATCAACAAATAGAAAAACATGGTCAAACAATTCACACATGTAAGCATAACTTTGCATGGAATTTCACATTAAACACGTAATTTCTCATAGAACTAGGGACGTAAAGCATATAAGAGGGTCGGGTTATTACAATATGAGTACGTGGACTTTTATGCACCCACATATATACTACATATGATGTAAATTCTTAGATAAAATGTTGTAAATTATATAGAAATGTACTTGAAATTGAATAATATTTAGAAAGAAAAATTTGAAATTTTATCTCTAATCAATGTTAGGTTGTAAATTTTTATGTTCTAACAAATGTGCATTTCTTATTCTTCAAACATTGTAAAATATTTGAGGATCCAAGTGTCTAAATTTGGTACAAGTATCAAACACAAATTCCACACCCTTATCCTTGTCTTATCCGGTGGACATGGTACATTGGGAGAAACAAACGAGTCCACATAGCGTAGCTTGAGTCTACGTCTACATCCTGAAATGCTACTCACCATGTTGTCCCAAACACTTTGTTTGTGCAAGTTAATCAACTATATTACTTGTATGATGTTTGATAGTAAACCCATTTGTCACAACACTCCTTACAAGTCTATATTGGTTGTCAATCATTTGTCCAATTAGGAAAATGTCATATGATTGACTTTATCCATTGGCGTAGGTTGTTAACCATATTCCCAAGTTGTATTTGTTGATTACTAGACTTTCATCACTGATTGAACAAGATTGCTCCCAATTATCCTGAATCACCCACAATCAAACTCAATCACTCCTTGATCAATCTTGATCCCTGTTGAACATATCATATCTTTCCAATCTCTTCGAAATTTGAAAATTCAAAGTCCACCAGGGAATTCATAGTGTCTGAAAACTTTAGAGAACATGCTCGCCTTCATTTTTTTTATTACACATACGCCAATCTAATAGAAGAAATTATGAACCATTGATCTTGTACCTCTTGTGACACTAGATCACATCGCTTGGACGAAGTCAATCCCAAGACAATCCATGTTTTTTGTCTTTTCGGTGAACACAGATTGAAATCCAAATAATCCTTTTGCATAGAAAATAAGATACTAGGCAACTAATACTAAATTTCCAACATCACTACATGTAGTCTTTGTCTTTTTTGCCACTAAGAGTTTTAAAATAAACTTGTGTGGTACACTACACACTACTTGTCGACAATGTAAGCCCATCAATTGAGTCCACCAAAACACGATCCTTACATTGTTTTCAGTCAAACATTACTACCTTTACATAGATTTCGACGACTTTTATTGTCTTTGTAATTGACGGCCATGATATTCTCTTTTTCTATGCAAAACCAAACTCTTTATTTATTTGAACAAGATCAAAAAAAATTCATGTGCTTCGAATCTTCTCTATGACTTTGGATCCGTTACCATAACTTTGATACCACTTGTAGGGATTATTGCACATCCTATGACGAGAGCACATCCACACACACACA